CGTTATAAAGAGAATAAGAACTCAACTCAACAAAGTCTTTTTTTCAACATTTTTGGGGTCGACTATATGAATCTTTGTTAGTGTGCTCCATTAAGGGATCATGCTTTATTATGGGCTTACTTTTTTATCCGCGCTCGTCCAAAGTGACAAAAGAACCGTTGCAAATTTTTTACCGCATTCAGAAGACTAAAATGCAATGCCCCTCGTCCAATTTCCAAAACACCCAAACGCAAGTGCAATGCACTAGGCACACCCTAGTATTTAACGAATAATTTTTGGATTCATGTTCATGTTTAGTCCAACGAATTTTACGTTGGGTATCAACAACTACCTAACGCAACCATTCTCCTTTAACCAGGTTTGGGACCAGCAATGCATAAGAGTACAAATGTGAAGTTTATGAAGAGAATAAGAACAATGATCTAAATATAATCACTTTTCAATGAGTAAACTTGTTTAACTCTCATGATTGCATTGGATAATATGGACTATGTACACTATTTAGTGTGACAAATATGATATGATATCTAATTTAGTTATATACACTTTATAACTATACTCTCAATGGGCACCAATAGAAATTGTAACTCTTTTGGCACCAAAGCTTCATGCCCTAAGCTTGTTTGAAATACGGATAGAGGACACCTTGTGGGCTTGGCCTATGGTCATGATCTGTAACAAGGCCCTTGGGGTTTTTTGTCAGGCATTCTAGGTTGCACTATGAATGGTCCAGAGTACATGGGTTTGTTCAACTTGGGGCCTAATCTCTTAGTGGAGTGTCATACTATGAGGCCCATTGGACTTGTCGGGTTTTAATTTAACACCCGGTCAATATTTCGGGTTCTAATTTCAAAGATCTTATAGATAGGTCACGTGTTGGGGAGGCACTTATTTTGCAACAGAGTTGTATGACTCGAGAGTGTCACGCATGGTTCCTTTAATCCCACTCAACTCGACTGCCTATTCGATCTTTTGATTTCACTCAATTAGTCCTTGCCCATGACTCTCTTTAAGAGATTGGGTGGGAGGACAACCTACTCAAGTCGATCGTCTATCCTATTCTGATTTAACTCAACTGGTTCATAGCTCCCTTTGAGAGTTTAACCATCTATCTAAACTATGGATTCCAAAAACACCCAAGCTCAATTATGACTTAGTATCAAGTTGAATATGTTCCTACCCCCATATTTATGGATCCTCCAAGGTCTTGCTGGACATTGTTTTGACTGATCAATGGACAAATGGTCAGCAACTTTTTTTGAGGCCCACATAATTACAGCCACTTTAAAGCTAGGCATCCAGAATCTGTGTAATGTACACAGGAGAGAGAGGGGGGGGGGGGGGGGGGGGGGTAAGGAAGAAAGAATCAAGCTCAATTTGCAATGGATGGGAAAGGCTGTGGTACCGAATCAGGTACCGTACCAAAAGTTACAATAATTTTAAGTTACAATTTTTTTTAGGTGTAAATTACAACTTTTAAAAATCAAGTTACAAGTTAAAAAGGAGAAATTATAACTGTTCAGAGAAAATCCATGATCGATCATGAACGTTTAGTAACCTTCGGTACGGTACCGAAGGCGGTACCATAGATATAGTTTCCCATCGGCAATAGTTGTACCTAAATCATTTTTTCATATAAACTGACTTTTTTGCTAATAAAAAAAATATTTGGACCTCTTAAAACGTCCGACTAATTCTCTGGGCCTTATGCAATTCCTCATCATGCATCTCTGGGTTATTATTCTTATCCTTAGCCGCATAATCTTTCTAAATTCCTAGCGCTCTCGCATTCCAGAAGCGAATTTTTCATGAATTTTGTACTTTTGTTTTATAAAATTTGTGAACGTGATTTTTCAATTCGCAAATTCAACTAATTCATGCTCTTATTTACTTATATAATAACACCGGCCTAAAGATACATATCAAACTAAAATAATATTTATAAACTATAATTGTCATTTTAAGACTTCAAAATCAACATAGATTTAAAAATTAAATAATTTGTCTCATAGTTGTGCATGAAATTTTAATTTTTATATTTTATTTATATTAAACTATTATGGATGAAATGTATGTTTGTATGCATATAATACAAAGCTCTTAAAGCACTCTCACACTATGTAATCTAGGTCTTTTCTTTTTATGCGAGACTCAAAAAAAAAAAAAACATATATATATATATATATAACAAGATTCTATATTTATAAGGATTAGAAAGAGATTCAAAGTATAAAATTATTAATTAAATATTTGTATTAAACTAATGATAACCTATTATTTTTAGTTAATAGTATGATTAATTTATCTAATCATTCCTATAGCACAATCAATTTGAGGCAAGATTTTATCAATTTTAATCTTTAAAAACTTCTTTTTCTAGAAGTAATTGTTAGTGGTAGAGTAAGTAATATAATATAAGCAAAACAATAACTTAAAAAAGAATATAACTTTAATGTCTAATTTAGTACCTTATTTAAAAAACTTATTATTTGAGTGCTTGAAATAGAGAGAGAAAGTAATGAGTTTAGTGATTGTTTCTTAACTTTCATGATTTACATGACAAAGAACATATTGCGACCTACAGTTATGGCATAATACTTTGACCTACTGATATAATATGTATTATTATCCCAATAAAATAGTCTAACAATGATAATTATAAAAATATTATTAGATTATGTCAAATGCCACATGATTTGATCTATTTATTAGATCAGATTTTCAAATTTCACTAGTATTATTGTTCTTTGAAAAAATGGTGTACAATGATAATGACTCAATTTTGTTAAATCAAATTTGTCCATTAACTGATCATTTCAGCTTGCTCCTATATATATATATATATATATATATATAGACTTCTATAAAATTATTTTTATTAAACTTAAACTCTTATCGAGTATAAAATACTAAAATGAATTATACTACATAACAAAAAAAAGGGCCTATTTTTCCTTTGTCAAAAAACATTTTAGGGCTTTATTTATTATGGAGACTAAAGTCATCGCTTTAATGACCTCGAATGATCTCCTCTCTAGTCTGAACAAAAATAAACCATTAACGCTGAAACTAAAATATTCATGAGCCTAGACATCTCCTGACCGTTGAACCGGAAAAAAAGATGACCTTAGGCTTCAGCTGGTCATGATTTCTTTTTTTTTTTTTTTTTTTTTTTTAATTGTTGAATCAAATAGCCAAAAATGAAGGATTTCCAAAGTTTTTTCTCTTTCAATAATATCTCTCATACAATAAATTATTCAAATGTTATCGTCCATGATCAATATAATAAAAATCATTTTAATGTTAAGCAACACTGGCTATTGGAATATTATATATCTGTAATCAAAACACACGCTAACCAAAATTGTTCTTTTCTAACAACCAAAATAATGGTTGGATATTTATGCCTTAATTCGTAATGATGCATCCCTTAGTCGGAGTCCCATCCTAGAATTTAATAGTTTGGGCTTGTGGTCTAACATAATGAGTATTATTCTGTCATATCTCATCAATACTAAATGCTCGGCTGTCTGGACCTACTCCCGGGACCATACTGAGCATTTATGGCTCACTCCCATAATGAGTATTATTCCCAAAAATATGAATTTTAAATTTTTTTATGTCACTAATAATATTATATAAATATAATTATAACAAAACTCCAAAAATTCAAAGAAAAACCTATAAAATCAACTTGTTGAAATAGTCTAAATAAACATTTTTTGGTCCAAAAATTTTTTACATAAGCTGGTAAAAAAGCTCAGGTCCAAAAAGACTTGTCTTATTTTATTTCAAAGTTTATAAAATCAACTTATTTCAACTAACTCCAAACATGCCCGTCGCTTTTGGGATCGGTCCAATCAAAACTTAACTTCTATCTAATTCTTAACTTATAAAAATACAACAGTGAAAATTGATTCAATGTTTATCTACTTTGATTTAATGGTTAAAAATTCATCAAAAAAATACTAAAAAATATCATCTTCTGTGCACGATTCTCAATGTCACAACTCAACCAACACACATTTTAATATCCTACAACCTCACTACTCCACACATACTTCTCTTTTTTTTTTTTTTAATTTATTATAATTTTAAATTGTGTAATTAAAAAAATAATTTTTGATTTAATATAAATGTTGTACGATCAATGTTCAATTTTTAATATTTTAGAGTATTTTTAGACATGAGATTAGAAATGTCAAAATGTGACACGATCCGTTAATACCACACAAAATTAGATTTGAGTCTTTCCTAAGCCACCCGTTTAATAAATGGGTGGACACGACGCGACGCTATTAATAAAAGAATTGGATATAAATAAAATTAATCAGAAAAAATACACGACACGACACAATTTGTTTATATATCAATTATACAAAATTCAAAAATAACACGAATCTAGTATAACACGATTCATTCAACACGAATTAATAAACAAAGCGAATATGAGTAGAATATTAATAAACAAAGCGAATATGAGTAGAATATTTTTTAACACGTACCCTCTAAAATTTGACACGAACTCATTTCACCCGACATGATTGACAGACCTATGCAAGATTATTGTTAGTTCTATTATATGGAGCAAAGTCATTCTAGCACACTTAATTATTATTATTTTGGTAAGAAAAATACCAACATAACATAATAAAAAAAGAAAAAAAATAGAAATTAAAATATTTATCGTTAGTATAAAAATGTTAGATTATACGAATAATATGTGATGATTACAACAATGATAAGATTATCAATTGAAAATCTAAGAGCCAGACAAATCTAATCAAATACAAATGTATTTTGTGGGTCATAAGACAATAACATATGTGGAATCCAATAATTTTTGAAGTGGCAAAGCATCAAAGGAAGAGTCAGCATAGACCCCATCCAATGCCCGTATGGCTTTTCCAACACCAAAATAAATTTTAAAAAATAAATAATAAAAAAAACAAAAATTTGAAGATAAAAAATAGGTAAAGCGAAACATGACTTCCATTTGCATCTTTGCTCCCTCCCTCTTCCTTTTTTCTCTCTCCTCAATCTCTGTCTCTCTCGGGATTCCATGGAATTTTAGAGTTGCCCTTTTGTCAGGGGGGATTTCGAGGCTCGATCTTTCAGTTTTATGGGCGATTCTTCGAATTGTTGACCCATTTTCTGGAGCTTTTAACTTTCAAAATGGAGGTAAAAAGTCGTAATTTTTTGTGTTCTGTATATCATTTGGTTCATTTTGATATTTGTATTATTTTTTTTCTTCAATTACACAATACTATTGTCTGGGTTGTCTTTATTTTCCTATTTCATTAGTAGATTTAGTGTTCAGGAAATTTGCAATTATATTGTCACACATTTAAGGATCTCCTGTTCTGATACTTTTCAGAAAAAAGGTAGAGATTGTCTTTTTTAATGGATAAATTGGTGAGGTATACATGCATATAGCGTTTTGTATTAGCCGATTTTCTGGGTAATTCTGGTAGTTTTCCAAGTAATTATTTTAGGAATTACCCTTGCTAGATTCATAGAAAGATAAGGCCTTTTTCCCTTCCCTTAGCAGGAGGTTTCCCTGCTTTCCCTGGCAGGAGGGTTTGTCTGGGTGTGCTATTTTTGTGGTAATATTCCAGGTTTTGTTGTACACATTACTAGTTTTTGAAATTAAATTTGTTTAGAAAGATAAGGCCTTTTTTTCCTGCTATCCCTAGCAGGAAGTTTTTGTTGGTGTATTATTCTTCTTGTGTATGATTTGTGAGTTTTTTGTTTTTGAAAGGTTCCGGGAGTTGATGAGATCACCAAGTCTGACAGCCATTTGACATCGGCTGCAGCTTTTGTGGAAGGAGGAGTTCAAGAAGCCTGTGATGATGCTTGCAGCATATGTCTTGAAGTCTTCAGTGAAAGCGATCCTTCCACTGTAAAATACTGTATATTTTATCTATTATGGATGTAGGGAAACGTTTTATATGGTTATGTTAAAATTGCTTAAATCTTGATCTTGCAGGTGACTGGTTGCAAACATGAGTTCCATCTTCAATGCATTCTTGAGTGGTTCGGTCTCATTCTCACATTTTTTTCAGTTTTAGATATGTAAATTATCTATTTTTTTAATACTCTTGTTGTATTGCACTCCCTAGGTAATCAATTGGTGTACAGTTTTCCATACAGTTGAAATTTTACAGAGGAAATAGGAGAAATAATGCAGCATTATGGTTTTTATTGTTCTTAGAAACTTAATTAGTGTCCTAATTGTTGAGGACGTATGTGTCATTACTTACAAATGGACAGGAAATGTATGAACTAGTGTATGATTTTCTTGTGACACCTTATTTGTCAAAGGTAAGTGTTAAGTATCTTTGGTGGTGAGTGCCGATGAGCTGAGGTGTTGCGGGCCAAGGTGTCATCTAGGCTTGAACATTTTCACCTACTAGATTATAAGAAACAATTCCATAGTGTGGAGAAAATATGTGAACGCAAAAGTAGCACACAATACCATGCATCCACAGGCATATACTTTGAGTTTTAGCAATTCCGCCTTTCGGAATTCTTACAAGTAGGTTGAACCATATGGGAACGGGGAACTATTGCCCAATCCCTTCTGTTATATATTTTCCATTCGTCCTTTGGGCTTATGTTTTTGCCATCACCATCTCTGCCTATCGGCATGATCATCTTCATCTTCATCTTCAACCAAGGTTCCGTTGAAATTGATGACAGATTCATCATAGTTTTAATTAAGATAATGTGGACTGCAGCTGTTAAGAGTCCATATGATTTTCAGCTGTTGGAGAGATCTTTTCAGGTCGTGTTAAGATGTTAGAAGGAATACAGTTGCTAATGAAGTAAGGATTAGAATGAGGTGGCTTTCCGTAAAGCTAACGAATGGTGATTGGTGAATGGTTTTGGCTGTTTCACACAAAGTCAGCCAGAAAAGAAATTGCACATTCTGGAACTATGATTTGGTTTGAGATGTCATTTTTCTTTTCCCAAGCCATCGGTGGAACAAACATTGTTTAATATGATATGGAATGGCTTATGGGTCACAGAATTTTTATTAGATGATATGGTAGGTGAAGGATTTGGGAAACTCAACACTACCTGGATTGCTAGGAAAATAACCCACAAAAAAAATTATGCTTTCTACTTGTCAACTGTGATCTGTCAACATGATTATACATCTTAAGAATTTTAGTTTCTAATTCTTAGAGATAAAGAGGAGCCTTGAAGCAATTAATGGCATACGTAAGCATTGATTCTTAGTTTCTTGGTGTGTGCAAAGATTGGGGGACCTTATCTTATTTATCTGTTAATTAAGACATACACATGGTTAAATATGAAAACCTTGTACTGCCAAACTTTTTTCTGTGAGTAGGTTTCTTTGCAACATATTTTTGGCTTCCAATTCATTGAAAACATGATCATTAGAATGAATGGCAAAAAATCTGAAATCAGAGACAGCTGAATAAAATACAAAATTCGGCATGGTTCAGAGTTTGGAATCACGCAAGCATATCTGGAGATACCAATGGGTAAAACAAGAAAAAGTTTAGTAGATGTTTATGGTCCTGCAGTAGAATAGTTCATTATTTTTTATTTAGGCTCATCACTGAGATCCACAGTCCTGTGTGCCTTGATGTTGTGAGTCTCTCGAATCAAAATGGTACCAAGACCAAGCCAATGTATCATGATAAGACATTTCTCTGATATACAATAGTACACTTCTCGAGCTACTTAATCTTTGTGGGAGTTGGTTTTAGCTTGATTTAGAGCAGAGGTCCAATGCTCGAATCTCGTGTGTTCTAGTAGTTAGGGTTTACATACTTGCTAGGGTCACAAATGGAGGAATGTCGCGCCCTTACGCAATGAGGCATGCTGAAATATGAAGCCCTTAAGCTACCCCCTTATTATTCACTTGAGGGAATTTAGAAGGGTTTGTTATTAACACCAATAATGACAGTGGATTGAAAAGTCTGATTTAGAAACACAGTACTAGTTGTCAAGACTAGTATCTTAGTCACACTTTAGTATATTTTTAGTTTATGTATCTCTTTTGAACTTCTTTATTTGGGGTTTCGTTTTTTCGATCTTAAAAAGCATGGTTGGAGAAGGTTGGCAGTAAACATGCTTTTAAAAGTACTTAGCTTTGGGAAATAAGTATCACATTACTTTGCTTTGGGGAAAGCAGAAAAAGAGGAAACATGTGATGGATTCACGTGTTTACTACAGGGGATGTGGGAGATTGCTTACATGTCCTGAAAAGTACTTCAAAATTTAATTTAATTCATCCTTCTAGTACTCCCTTTTGTACACCACCATGAAAAGGTTAACTGATCTGATGTCTTCTACATGAGGATATATATACTAGTGTACTGTTGTGGAAACACCATCATGAAACTTTTGTAAACTATCGGATTTGGAAGCATGAACTACACACCTAACTTCGTCTATTTTTTTTTCCAACAGGTGCCAGAGAAGCTCTAATTGTCCAATGTGTTGGCAACCTATTAGCCTGAAGGATTCCACCAGGTTCATTATGGCTTTTCTCAATATTATTTTTCTCATATTTGTCTTTACTTCTTGTTTTGTGACTGCCCCTTGTATCAATTTCGGTGGAATTTACCTGTTTTCTATCGTGGCAGTCAAGAGTTGCTTGAGGCGGTAGAACGGGAGAGGAGCTTCAGGTTTAAACCAGCAAGAAATTCCGCTATATTTCGTCATCCCACTCTTGGGGATTTTGAGTTACAGCATGTACGTTACCAAACAGTAGTAATTGGAATTTTCTGTTTCTCCTTTTTGCTGCAAGCAGTTTGATACTCTTTGATTTCTTGCACTGTAATGCAGTTACCAGTGGGGGTAAATAATGATGAACTTGAAGAACGCATTATCCAGCACTTGGCTGCAGCTGCTGCAATGGGAAGAGCCCACCACATTGCTCGGAGGGAGGGTTCAAGGAGTCGGTCATCTGCTCATGGTCGTCCACAATTCTTGCTGTTTTCAGCTCATCCAAATGCACCGCCTTCGGGTTCTGTTTCTGCTTCTCTAGCTCCGGTAGGTGGGGAATCCGAGCCAGCCACAATCAGTGTAGCTACATCATCTATTCCACTTACAGCTGTTGGCGGTGAACCACCACAGCATATGCCACCATTCCTTTCTGTTCAAAATGATCAAATTTTGGCGTCTTCATCTGGGTCTACTGTCCGACCAAGTACTCGACCAGGAATCTTCATAGATAATAGGTACTCTTGATCTTACTTACACATATCCAATCTCCCAACAGGTTGTGGTGATTTAATGATCTTGTTGCATTTAGTGCTTTTGTCAATTCAATTTTTATGCTAAACTTTTTGTTTTGCTTAAATATTATCCCACTTCATGTTGGCTACTCGTAGGGGCTCTGCTAGTCCATCCTCCAATCAAGATAGAGCAGGACCATCTGACTTCCAGACATTTTCAGACACTTGGAAATCTCGTTTTAATGCAATGTCAATGAAGTATGTATCTCATAGAAACACTTTTTTTCCACTTGCTCTTCACGTGTGGCACAATTTTCTTTCTCATGGACTTGGCCTGAACTATATTTGTATATTTTTGTTTTGTATAAGATACAAAGAGTCAATTTCTAAGAATACCAGAGGGTGGAAGGAGAGACTGTTCTCTCGAAGCACTTCTATGGCAGATATTGGTTCTGAAGATAGGAGAGAAGTGAATGAAGGCATGGCTAGTGTAGCTCGCATGATGGAGCGCCTTGAAACCAGAGAAAATAATCCTAGAGCTAGCCATGTTTCTGCATCAAACAGTCTAGCAGATACTTCAGTTACAGACCAGAGCAACAATAATAATGAGGAGAGTCATCGTGAAATGCCACCACTGAACGAAGACAATAGTGCTGCTTTTGCTGCAAGCTCTGTTTCAAATTAAGCTGTTAGACATTAGTTAAGTAGTTGCATCTTTCCTCATCATTGCATCTTTGAAGGTGAGTTATCTTGTTTGTATTCGTTCTAAGCCAAGATGTTAGTTTTCCTTATTAACTCCTTTTCAGTTTCCTTTTTTCCCTTGTAAATTTACTTGTTTTAATGCAGAAGTTGCTGCTAATTCATGTTTGATATCTGATGAAGCTTGTCTGTTTTTTTTCCCTTTTTGTCCCTTTCGTAATTGTTTTAGTTGGTAAAGAAGCCCTCCATGACTACCAATAGGTTGTGTTTCAAATTTGAAAGAGAGAATGTAATGAATAATTGTGATAGGTCACACCATCTTAGCTCGGGTTTTTAAGTCTGATTGCGGGAGGTTATGGCACAACAACAGTGTTTTTAGGTTTTGCATCATGTAATTGCTGCTTTAAGTTTATGAATTTCCAGTTAACATTTTAAGAATCCATGCAATCACACTTCATCTTCATCTCATATTACGTTCAAAATGCTAAAGTGGGTCCATTTTTGTTTTCAGGTTGTCAATTACTTGTCTCCAAATATGACATGCTGAGAAGAAGATGCATTGCATTTCAGTTCAAGGGGCTGGAAATAGACTTGATCATTCATGGTTTCCTGATTCTAATATATGTGAGAGAGAGAGAGAGAGAGAGAGTTTCCTTCTTGGCAAAACTAAATATATTCCATTTGCTATATTGCCTGTAAATTTGTTGATATAAAAAGGCGGATTTCGTACCGGATAATCAGGAGAATTTGGCAGAGATGTTATGTGTTTCAATGTTTTTGCTTATTTGACTCTGAATAAAATGCAGCCTTGTTATTGAATTTTATCTTATGATGTCTTGTGCTAAGTGTCTGTTATATTGGTGATGGCAGTCCTTGGTGGAATATTTTGTAACTTAAATTTTTTTCTTTTTGGGAGATGAAAAATGGTAGGTTTTCATATTTATGTTGTATGCCAACTAATTTAGAACAGACAGCCAAGGGATAGCTATCTCAGGGAGAGTACAACCTAATTGTCCCACCCTAACTGACTTGGGTGTAAATGGTAGGGTGCAAATGGCCGGTCTTGGTGGTACCTTGCACCAAGGCATGCCATAAGTTGGAATCAAGGTAATGCGGTTAAGTGGTTCGACAGATTAGGGCGAACCAAGGCAGCATGAGAACACCCGATTGAGCATGACAGCATGTGGTGGGCTCAATTGAAGCAACGTGGGTGCATAGCTTCGGATTGCATGGCATGGGTTGAACCCAACATGCACATTGGTTCGTGAAGCAAGGCTGGCTACTGAATGTGGGCACATGACTGCTTAATGCATGTGACCAAGAGGATGTAGGCAGTTATAGATGCTGAGATACAATCAAGACAGTTGCTGAGGCGGTTCTGACCGTTCCTTGTCTGAATCCAGTCCAGATGCATGCTGATGAAAGGCAATTCCACATTAGTTATTGAAAGGGGTGGAATTGTCTGTCAGGTGTTGCACAGAGACCAAGCCTACTAGCCAAATATGTTATGGAATAGCAAAAATGTGTGTAACTACCCTTTGGCAGATAGGGGTGTTATCTGCCTTACTCCTGTATAAATAGAGGTGCTTGAGCATTCTGATAAGGAGAGAGTGTTCTGGTTTTGAGAGTCCTTGTAAATTGTTGAGTTCAATATATAAGGTTTGAGAGTTTTGTCCTAGTAAATTCGTGTGTGCCTTCTGTGTGAGTTTCTGTCCCTTATTCTTGAGTTGAGTGTGGCTGGTTGTAATAGTAACGCCTTCACATGTAGCCTCGAAAGAAAAACGAAAATTACCCCGTGACAGTTTGGTATCAGAGCCAGATTTTGGCAACAGATCAACTATGGCTTGCGGAATGAATGCTGATCTGAGGGAAAGAGTGACACGTTTGGAGGAGTTGGTTGGTCCTCCACAATCCGGTGATGCTGTGGCTCTCTGTGTGCAACTTGAATTGCTGTATCAGCGGTTTGAAGAGATGCGGGTTGCACATGAACAACTTCAAAAGACTGAATCTGATCACTTCAGTCGAGTGAAAAACGAAGTCGTTGACGTGCTGGCTACGATCTCCACATAGACCGATGATATGGGGGAAAAATTAAGTTCCCTCGAGACAGACGTTTCAGTGCTCAAGAAGGCACTGCAGAATGCTTCTTTGGCTTTTGGCAATGAAAGCACTCAGAAAGTCAAAGTGTCTGACCCTAAGCCTTTCACAGACAGTCATAATGCTAAAGAACTTGAGAACTTTCTGTGGGATATGGGGCACTACTTCAAAGCAGTCCGCACTCCGGATGCTGATAAGGTAGATCTCACTAGCATGTACCTGTCTGGTGATGCTAAATTATGGTGGCGAACACGTTCTGAAGACAAATCTCGTCCTCCAATGATTACTTGGGAGTCTCTGTCCGTTGAAATGAAGGAGCAATTCCTTCCTAGCAACACGGCTTGGCAAGCCCGTAATGCATTGAGGAAACTTCGACATACAAGCACCGTGAAGGAGTACGTGAAGCAATTCTCGTCTCTGATGCTTGACATCAAAAATATGTCAGAGGAAGACAAGCTGTTCAACTTTATGTCTGGCCTCCATACTTGGGCACAGGCAAAACTTCGTCGGCAAGGGGTGAAGGACTTACCCGCTGCTATGTCCGCAGCAGACGCGCTGGTTGACTACAAAACGCAGGCTAACCCTCTAGAGAAGGAGTTAAAAGGGAAAACCAACTTCCCTAAGAAGGACAAGCAGAAGAAAAAGGCTGAGAAATTTGACAATTCAGAAAAATCGACTGACAAAGCCTCTTCATCAAAGGGAGGTGCTGACTCAGGCTGTTTTATCTGTAATGACCCTCATCATGCCAAAAACTGCCCCAAGAAGGAAAAGCTTAGTGCCCTCATGGCTAAGGACACTGATTGTTCTGACGAACCAACACGAGTCAATCCATTACAACTCCTTAATGCAATTCGCAAATAGGAGATAGTGGCAAAGAGGGGGTTGATGTTTGTGCAGATTCACCTGAACAATGTGGCTGTCCAGGCAATGGTTGATACAGGTGCAACCCATAATTTTGTTTCTGACCGGGAGGTACAACGGCTTAGTCTGGCTTTGGTGAAAGACTCTAGCCAGATTAAGGCTGTTAATTCAAAGGCAAAATCAGTAGGCGGTGTCGCAAGAGAAGTCCCTTTAAAAGTTGGTGGTTGGCAAAGATCATGTGATTTTATGGCAGTCCCTCTTGATGATTTCCAGGTAATCCTTGGACTGCAATTCCTTACAAAGGTAAAGGTGTTTGTTATACCGCATTTACAGGGGATGTTTGTGATGGACATGCCCAATTCCTGCTTTGTTCCCCTCACTAAGGCCAAGTCTTCGAGGGAAATGTTGTCTGTCTTGCAAGTAAAAGATGGATTGCGGAAGGGGGAAGCAACATACTTGACTATTTTATTTGAGGAAGAGGAATCCAAAGCATTGCAAGTCCTTGAACCAGTGTAATAGTTGTTGGTTAAGTTCAAGGATGTGGCACCTAAAGAATTGCCAACAAGGTTACCGCCAAGACGGGAGATTGACCATGCCATCGAGTTGATTCCAGGGGCAAAAATCCCTGCCCAGGCTCCTTATCGAATGTCTCCATCAGAGTTGGCGGAGCTAAGGAGACAGCTTGGGGGTTTATTAGACATTGGGTTCATTCAACCTTCCAAGGCACCCTATGGAGCCCTTGTTCTATTTTAGAAAAAGAAGGACGGATCCTTACGACTTTGTGTAGACTACAGAGTCCTCAACAAAGTCACTGTCACGAACAACTATCTAGTGCCGCTTGTTGACGAATTATTTGATAGAATGGGAAAGACGGTTTTCTTCACCAAGATGGATTTGCGGCTGGAATATCATCAAGTCAGAATTGCAGAGAGAGATGAGGCGAAGACTGCTTGTGTGACAAGGTATGGATCATATGAGTTTTTAGTCATGTCTTTCGGCTTAACCAACGCCCCTGCTACATTCTGTAACTTGATGACCAACGTATTTCAGGAATACTTGGACCGTTTCATGGTGATTTATTTGGACAACATAGTTGTTTACAGCTAGACTCTTGAGGAGCATGTTGAGCATCTTAGGCTGGCCTTGACAAAGTTAAGGAAAGCCCAGTTGTATATGAAACCAGAAAAATGTGAGTTTGCCTAGAAGAAAATTTCTTTTCTTGGGCATATTATTTCTGCGGGCGTGGTGAAGATTGACCCGAATAAAGTTGAGGCCATTGTAGATTGGTCTGTCCCTACTAAGGTTACTGAACTGCGTTCTTTCCTTGGTTTGACAAACTATTATCAAAAATTTGTGAAGAATTATTCAAAGAAGGTCGCGGTGCTGACTGATCTTCTAAGGACGGATATGACATATAACTGGTCCTACGAATGCTAGGAGGCATTCGATCGATTGAAGGCGGTGGTGACGTCTAGCTCAATTTTACAGTTACCTGACTTTGATTTGCCTTTTGAAATCCATATAGACGCATCAGACTTTGCTCTTGGAGGGGTGCTGGTGCAGAATGGGCATCCGGTGGCATTTGAAAGTAGGAAGTTGAATGATACTAAGAGGCGACATTTAGTACATGAGAAGGAGATGACAACAGTCATTCACTGCATCAATGCATGGAGTTATTGGGGAAGCATTTCCTTGTACTGACAGATAATATGGCTACCAGCTGCTTCAATTCTATGAAGAAGCTGACACCAAAACAAGCAAGATGACAGGACTTTCTTGCCCAGTTTCATTTCACGTTGCAGTACAAGCCTGACAGTGCAAATCAGGTTGATGATACTCTTAGTCGAATTCCAGTTGCTGATGGGACAGTTGCTGCACTTAGCCAGATTGCAGGAGACATACTGCAGAGAATTCAGGATTAGACAAAAGATGATCCAGTGACCGCTTATTGTTGAAGCAGGTCCACGAAGGGGTGATTCGGCGATTTTGGGTAGAGGATGGTGTTCTCTACGCCAAAGGAAGGAGACCCTATGTGTCGAAGTCAGGCGGACTTCGACAGATGTTGCTAAAAGAAACTCATGATGCTCTGTGGTCAGGACATCCAAGGCAGCAACGGACTCTTGCCTTGCTAGTAGAAAGCTATTATTGGCCCCATATGGAAACAGATGTAGAGCTGTATGTGCACACTTGTTTGGTGTGCCAGCAAGACAAAATAGAAAGGAAGAAGGTGACGGGTACGTTGGAACCCCTCCTTATTCCAAGCAGACCTTGGGAGAGTGTTTTCATAGACTTCTTTACTAGCTTGCCTCAGGTGAACGATTTTACTTCGATATTTGTGGTTGTAGACAGATTTTTGAAGTATGCCACTTTCATTGCTGCCCCAAAAGTATGTACGGCGGAAGTTACTGCTTAGTTGTTCCTCAAGCATATTGTGAAGCTTTGGGGTCTTCCACTAGACATAGTTAGCGACAGGGACACTCGATTTACTGGCTGGTTCTAGACGACTTTATTTGAACTGTTGGGCACACAACTCAACCTTTCCACCAGTAATCATCCACAGACAGATGAGCAGACTGAGCGGGTTAATGCAATGCTAGAGGAATATCTTAGACACTATGTCATAGTGAACCAGGACAATTGGGTGGATTTACTTGATGTAGCCTCTAACAGAGCTCTTCCACTGGAATGAGCCCATTTGAGTTGGCGACTGGCCAACAGCCTCTTACCCCGCATAAAGTTGTCAAGCAGAAGTCTCAAGGAAGATGTCCTACAGCATACTGCTTTGCTCGGGCCAATCAAGAGTGGACCGATGAGGTAAAAGACTATTTAACTAAGGCGGTGAAGAGGATGAAGAAGTGGACAGACGA